CTTTCTTTCTTTCTTTCTTTCTTTCTTCCGTTCTTTCTTTCTTTCTTTCTTTCTTTCTTTCTTTCTTTTGGTGCAGCACCTCTGCGTCCCTGGCTCTGTCGGAGTCCGGGCTGATTTCCGTTTATAAAACACTTTCAGGTTTTGCCCAAGCCAGCAGACTCAAACAAACTCATAACAGACAGACTAAACCAAGTTACCAAGTTAGTAAAAATAAAAACAGACTCACAACACACTTAAAAGTTAAAAGTTAAAAGCCAAAAAACAGGTTGAAAACAGAATCACACAGACTGACTGAAATGGACCTACAGAATAAAATAGACTGGAAAAAAAGAGGGTCAAATAGAGTTTAATAGACTCAAATAGATGCAAACTGACTCAAACTGACTCAAACTGACTCAAACAGACTCAGAACAGACTCAAACAGACTAAAAAATCAGGCTGAGAACAGACTCAAGAAAGTCCCGTGACAGACAAACAGAGACTCGAAACTGACTCAGCAGTCAGAACAGAATTAGACAGACTCAAAACAGACTCAAAACAGACTCAAAACAGACTCAAAACAGAACCAGACAGACTCAAATGGACGTAGAACTGGACAAAAGCAGACTGGAAACAGACTCGAACAGACTCAGGAGTCAAAACAGAATTATTTGCAATGTACTGTTAAGAATCGCATGAAGCTTCATCGTCACTTCACAAACCGCGTGCCCCCGAATGACAAAAATAGCTGTTTAATAGCGGGAATTGTTTTCGGGGAAGTCCGCCGCGGCTCTCGGAGCTGCGCCCGGTGGACCAGCATGGCCACTGGGTTTGAAAAGGGGCCCCACCCCCATGGCCAAAGGAGCAAAAGGCGCCCGGCAACCGCACCCGGGCCATCTGCACGGCCAGCGGCCAGGCGGCCTTCCAGGCAGTGCAGTTCTGGCCGGCCCGTGCGAGGGCATAACAGCCTAGGATTTTTCACAAAACCTGTATGTCTTTTGCTATACAATCCTTAACCACCGCAAAACAGTCAATCTTTCCCCTTTTTTTTCTTTTTCTTTTTTTTTGGTTTTGGAGAAATTTGGACCATTTATTGGGTCGATCCACATCTGTGCTACGGGCAGCACCACATTGGACAATGACTTGTAATAATAGTCATTATCATTATATATTAAAAATATCAAAATAATAATCAGCATAACAATCATTCTTGACATAATACAATACACAGATTAATCTAGGATAAATTGATAATAATAAAAGCTAAAGCTAAACCATGGTAACCGTCCGGGCGTCCGGACCGGGTTCCAGACAATCCGGTTTCCGGTGTCCAGTGTCCGGTCCTCATGTCCGGATGGAGGCCCCTGGGGCAAAAAAAAAAAAAAAAAACGTGGCGGCCCAGAACGTTTTACGGGTCCTGGCTGCCCCTCGAAAAATAACGCGGTGATTTCTTAGTGTCGTTTCACCCCACCGGACATGGCCTAGAGGTCCGGACACAAGACACTGCAGGTTTTTGAGGTGGCGGGTTTCACACGGGCCCGAGCAATTTCAAAGCGGCCGTATAGACGTGGCGCCCGCCGCTGCTGCCCGTTGGGGGGAGAGAGAGAGAGAGAGAGAGAGAGAGAGAGAGAGAGAGAGAGCACTGACAGTGCTGCCAGTCTGAAGACTCTGAAATGAACCTCTCAAGATTCAATCTTAGAATATAACATGCAAATTGAGAGCAATCAGATGAAGTTCACACAAGCTGGAGTGATGTCCATGAACAGTGCAAATTCGAAGTTCCACTCAAGGTGCAATAATATACAATTGGAAAAGTTTGAGAATAAGYGGTTTGAACCGCTGCAACAAGCCTCAGGTATGTAACCAACTTCCTCCTCCCTCGGCTGCTTCTCTTCTCTCTTTCTTTCTTTCCCTGTCTCTCTCGATAGTCTCTTTCTCTCTCTCTCTCTCTCTTTCTCTCTCTCTCTTGCACTGTTCCTCCCTCACTGTTCCTCCCTCACTGTTCCTCCCTCACTGTTCCTCACTGACTGTTCCTCTCTCGACGTCCTAGATCTACCCTGAATGCTACTACGGTGTGCCTTACTGATCCTGGGTGGCTATGGCCACCGGGGAACCTCTCCCCTCTCGCCTGGCTATGGCTGACTGTAGCAGCCAGGCACTGCACACTTCTCCCCCCTTGTGCTCCTTCTTCGTCCAGGTCGCTTGATCGCACAAGCTCTCGCAACGCTTCCACAATTCTGTGAAATGAACAAGTGACCCTTTTGGCACTGTAGTCCAAGATATATAGTTGCAGTGGACTGTTTCGTTCCTGCTTCAATCGGTACTGGCCTCCTTCGGCCTCTGCCTTGCCAAAATGCTATTTTGGGAAAGTTCCCAACTTTCTTGTGAGGCTGCTGCAAAATTGTACTTTTGGGGACTTGACATGCTCCTACAGGTACTGTACGGTACTGTAGCCAACCGGCCTGCGACGCCTGATCCTACAGGCCCTAAGATTCTAATCGACGGGGGCCTGGGACTGGGATGATGTAGGACCCTGTAACTGGGACTGGGAAAGCTTGCAGTGTGAATCCATTCACTCCCGCCGGCCTAATTTTGAGGTCCTCCGAGAAAAGTCAGAACTTTAGCGATCATAGATGTTCAATCCTATGCGTGCCCGCTCGTAGTATGACACTATATGAGGGGCTGTCTGAACTAACTCATCCCTGGTGAACCAGCGATCTTCGCTGGGATCCTGATAAGCAAATCTGACCTTGTATTGTCTCTGCGGCCTCCC